TCATCAAGTTTGAGTTCTGGGAAGTTTGCCGCTCTTAGCGTTTTTGAAAAACAAGCTTTGAATAAACGATTGAACAAACGAGTCTTGAAAGCGAACATTTTCGTCAAGAAAAAACTTTGATAAATCGCCTGATGATGGCAACTATTCGAAACTCTCAAGATTCCGTAATCAGACTTAGTGTCAAAAAACTTAAAAAATCGCAAGTTTGTTGGTTTTTGCGTTATTGAGAAATTAATTGTTAGAGAAGCATTAAAAAGGGTTTTTCCATGAACAGTTTACAAAACTGTCGAAAATTCCCTGACGATGGGAGAAAATCGAAACTTCAGAGATTATTAAAAGAGCTCTTGTTTATCCAAAGCAAACACGTGCAAGTGAGTAGTTTTTCTGTGGTTCTCGAAAGCGATTTTTTAACTCTTGGAGATACCTAGTGTTCTTAAAAGCCCTAGAAAATTTCTCACAAATTTTCTGATGATGGCAGAAAAGCGAAACGTCCAGCATTTATCGAACAGGCTTTTCTTCATCGGGTTCCAAGTCTGGGAAGTTTGCCGCTCTGAGCGTTTTTGAGAAAAACGATTTTGTCCAAACGGATCGAAGAATTATGTTAAATAAAGAGCTCAGTTGCAGGAAGAAAAATTATCTGATGACGGCAGAAAATACGACGGCCTAAAAACCCGAAAAACCGATTGGTTTCAATTACATAATTGTTCGAAAAAAAATTAGTCTCTGTCTTAATCGGGGACGTTTTTTGCGGTTCGATTGGTTTCAATAATCAATCAATATTAAAAATAGCAAGAACCAAAAAACTGTCGATCGGTGGACAAATGTTGGCTCAATTAATCTCTAAAATTCCAGCTTTTCTGCAAAAGCGTTACAAAACCCAAACACGCTTTCAAAAACCAACTTTCCATAAAAAACTGAAAATAACGCATTGTTGTTTGCATGCATTTGGTAGTTAAAACATCAGCAAATAATGCGATCATAATACGTTAGTTAATAAGCCACAATCCCTGATGATTGCTACTTACGGTCGCTTTCTTTAGAAAATGAAAAAGAGAAACTGGCTAATTTTGTGGAAAATCGCTCGATAAATCGGTGCATTTATGGAAAGAATAGTTTTAATCCATAAATCATGATGTATGACTTACGTGAGCTGATCACTATTGCAAAAATGTTAATGTTTGGTGAATTTTTCACTTTCGCTTGTTAATCGGCACCTGAATTGAACGGTTTTCGTGCGAGTCGCCAATCAACAAGGTTTCAAGAAATTCACTTTTAATTGTTGATTTTTGCCAATCAATCTTCATTTCGCCCACCAATTTACCCAATTAAAGCGCATAAATCCCCATTTAAAAAGTAAACCACTTGTCGCACCCAGAAAGCTTTGAGAAGGCAATTAAAGCTGAAAAAACCCTAATAAATTCTTCAATGAAACTGGTGAGTTTTTCTGGGTTTAAGGCACTGGCGGGCAATTTCTTCCTGACTTAGAAGACGCTAATTAGATGTAAATTCATAATTGCCTAATCAGCCATATTATATGCAAACTAATGCGAGAATCTGATCAATCTTGTGGAACACAATGTGAAAAAATGGGGCCAAAACAGTTGATAGGGTAAGGAAAAATTAGAATATGCTCTGCTAGTAGGGGCGGACTCCCTATCGTGCAATCTATAAGAAAACGTGTCAGCCTTAATTTGTCTGGCCGACTTACCGGAAGTGTTTTTGCCGTGTTTTTTTTATTAAAATTAATATTCTGGACAATTAGACTCCCCAAGTGCTTCCAATTGGGCACCTCAACAATAGCAGGCCGAAAATAGGCTCAATTGAATAAAAAGAAATGTAAAAATCGATGCAGGAAGTTCAGTTTGCGTAAAAATAGACACACGAAAGTTTTGCCCGGAAAATTCAGCCATCGGCCGGCATATTCCCCCGATTTAAGTCCAGATGAGCTGAAGAATTGCACACGATTTTTCCACGAGAACATCAACTGATTTGCATAGGGTGTGCGCAAAAAAACAGCTCAAACCGACAGCAAAGCCGGTGAATTTACCTTCCAGTTGCCACTAATCCAGGAGAAAAACGGCCACAAAACCGGTCACAACAGCACAAGACAAGGCACAGCCCGAAATGAAGAATCGGCGTGGAAAAAGCAGAAATTGCTGGTTCGGCAGCAGAACGAAGAATAACTGAAAAAAGCACGCGAGTAACCGATAATAGAAAAATCCCCCATTACACCTCACTGTTCACATTTCGCCATTCTACTGTAACTAAAATCGGCGTTCATTTGAAAGTTAATGAGACGCACAAGACGCCAACTTACGGCCAAGAAGTGAAGCGAGGAAAAGCCGATTTTTCCGCGCCATCCAGGCAGTAGTGGAGGGCGCGAAGCCAGAAGGACTTCCACCCTCAACACTCGAAAAACCTGCTCAACTTTAAAAAAATTGCATGAATTACGCCTCAAATCAAGCCCCCTCTGACCTGTTTTCCATGTTCTTCACATGTTTCACCCAACTAATTTACCTACTTTGATTAAACAGACACACTCTACGGTTTACATAGAGCCGGTTGACTGGCAAGAAGCGCAAATTGCCAATTGCCACGTTTCCCAACAGCCTTTGAACGATGGAAAATTGGGTGTATTGTCAGGGAAAATTGCTTTTCTTTGAAATCCGCAGGCGGCCGTTCCACTTTACCATGTTATTACTAGATGGGCAATCGATAAGACCACACAACAAAAACATGCAGTTTCATGTGAGTCTTCATGTGAGGCACAATGGGAAAAACCCATCGCAGATAACGCGGCCAATAAATGGGCCACAAGCGCTAAAGAAAACCCAAGTATTAAATTGCCATGCATTGCCATGCCGTTAGTGCAGGCTGATGGGCGAAATGGAAAATCCTGGAAACAACCCCATCGAGAGGCCGTTGTCCCGGAAGTTTGGCCACTCCAGGGCTCCATAAGTCCTTATTGCTGACTTCAAACAGCCGGCTCTTGTCCGCAGGGCCGAATTAATTAATTAGGGTCACAAATGTGCATTTATAAAGCGTTTGGGTCAATAATAGGGAATAAATCGTCGGTTAAAGATCGTGAGCGCTCAAAAAACGCTTAAAATGTGTCGAAAATGTCTATTGTTTCGGAACTTCTACCATGTTTTCAATGAGT